GGCCAAGCCAGAGGCAAGGAGTTCGGTGACACCGTCGAAACCGCCAGTGAGGGCCGAGATGACGAAGCCAGACGCAAAGCAAGCAGAGACGCCCGCGAAGCCCGAGGCGAAGAAGATGGAGGCACCAGCGAAGCCCGAGGCGAAGAAGATGGAGGCACCAGCGAAGCCCGAGGAGAAGAAGATGGAGGCACCAGCGAAGCCCGAGGCGAAGAAGATGGAGGCACCAGCGAAGCCTGAGGCGAAGGGAGAGCCCCAAGAGTCCAAGAACGCGCATGGGACCGGCCCGACAAACCTCAACATCCGCGGTCTCGTCGTGATTGTGCCGGACACCACGGGGAAAGGTTCCGACAAGAAGGTGGTCAGCAAGGACCGGTCCACCGTAACGGTTGGGGGACGGGATACGCAGGTGGATGAGGTCCAGGTGATGAAACCGAACGCCTATGAGGAGGGCGCCATCACCCACGAGTGCCGCTCGATGTGGCTGCTTGGGCACAACACCTCTCTGCTCTTGGCCTGCGGCAGTGGGCAACTCCAGAGCTGTGTGAGCTTCGCGAAGGGCTTCATGGCGAGTTGCATTAACAAGCTGATCGCCCTCAAGGATCCGTTCAAGATCTACGTCACCATGGTAGCTTTTAAGGACAGTAAATCGATCAGGGATTTACTGGACGATAAGAAAAATTCTTACGAGACGTTGCAGGAGACGAGTTCGCCCATTTACGGCCCGGCGATTGGTAAGATTCAAGTTATGGAAATCAGCGACGTCGCGGAATCCGCGAAAGCTATCGAAAAGTGTATCAAATCTGGTACAGATCCTAAGGAGCTCATATGTTGTTATTTTGTGCTGAAGCAAGCAAAGAAAGTCAACGACAAGACGGTTTGCTACCTTTCTTCACTTAACATCAGCTTTTCTGGCGAGTCTGGGCAGCATTACCTTGATATTAAGGACAAAAAGTCGACAGTTCCTTACAATCTATATCGCTACTCTATTGGTGGTGGTAGTACGTCCGTATGTGTTGCTTGCGTTGGTGAAAAGGACGAGTCCGCCATGAAGGTGATAGATGCATGCAGCAAAATTAGGGGAGTGAAGAACTCGCCACCACGAAGCGGCAATGTTGCACGTTTCGTAGAATTCACTCAGGGTGAGGTTTTGAAGTGTAAAGAAAAGATTGAGAAGGCAGATAACGATTCTACAAAGAAAACTTGTCAAAGTATATTGGAACGCATGGAGCGTATGTTGAAGGATGCGGAGGAACTGCTGGCGGACCCTATTAAAACAAAACCCTTAGCTTACTAGTAAAAAACAAACAAACATCGTCATCGTAAAAGTCTCAAGCTAGGCTCAAATATTTGAAGGCTAGAGGATGCACAGTGAAAAGTAATTCAAGAAAAAGCTGCATGAATAGGGATGGAAAGTTATGATGGGTGCATGCATAGAAAAAAAGTTATTTTTATTTCAGTGTGTTGTCGACTTTGCCTTTTTTACATATGTCAACATATATTAAGATGCTTCTCTAATGAAGTACGTTTTGTACAGATTTCTTAGTACATGTTCACTGGTTTTAATACTGAGAATGCTTTAATGTGTATTTATTTTTATTTTTATGAAGTGCCTAAATGCTGAATTTATAAATATAAGGCTTTTCATCGTGTTTAAAGGGCTTTTGCTTAGCAACTTATATAACAGATTTTTTCTTCTTAAATTTATGAGACAATGGTAAAATGAGTTCACGAATATGTATATACTTATGTTGTGTCTGGCACGCCCAAGCACCCAAGCTTTTTCTTGACGTTTTGTTGTGTTCAAACATCCATATATATTTTTATATATACATATATGCATATATACAATCTTTTTACTTTTTTTTGGTGTGTGTGTGTACAATTTATTGCATTTGGGACTGAGTATGCGGTTTGCCTACAGTTATTTAACCTTCCCACTCTTTCTAGATTACTACAGCTGTATTTTAAAATAGTATTCTGTAATCGCATGCATATATAAATATATATCTTTTTTTTTTTAAATTTACACATACATCAAACATTTATTAATGGATTTAACCTTTTATCACTGTTGCAAGTAATGCTACGTACCAAGGTGAAATACCTAACGAGTGTTTTGATGTTGTGCATTTTTTCCACTACTATTTTACTTGAGGGACAAATCTCTAGCGTAAATGTCAAGAACCGATTGTTTAGAAAACGAAAATGTGCACGATAAATTGAGTATATTTCATATGTAGAATGACATAGTAATGGTTGTTTGACGCTTATCATCGTCATAGTTTCTATACTTTTCGAAGATTAACCTTCATTACTGCTGTTGATTTTACTCAGCGTTGTTAAATTGTCTTTTAGGTATCTTTTTTTTTAGTTGTTTCTTAAAAATGGAAGAAAAAAATTGAATGCTTCACTAGAAAACCAGCACCAGTCGCTTGGATGTAATTCAAAAGAAGACAATATGTAATCGATTGACATAAAGTCGACCTGTTTGAAAAGTTTTAATGTAGGGAATCGAAAATTCCTTTTAGATAATTTTTTCCAAAGCTTTAGCATTTGGTATAGTTATTTAAGTTCCAAACTTTGGATTTCGTCTTTCAATAGGATATTGCATAATTTATGCAAATAAATTTCTTTTTTTTTACTTATTTTTAATTCTAACAGCATTCTAATCTTTTCTCACAATCCATTTTTCTCCTCTTTACTAGCCTCTTGGTTACTCCTATGCGCTTTCAGAAGTGTACTACGCAACTCCTCCTTTTCATCCGTTTCCCTCATATTGCAAATTTAAGAAAGCAGGTGAAAAGCCTTTTCTTTTCAATTAGATAGAAATCCAGAAGCAAACCAAAAAGTAATTGACCTACAACACAGTGCATGGGTATCTTGCATACACATTAAGGAGTTATGCGGGCACTTTATTATGGGGTGATCGTTGCTATTTTTCCCTAGAAGCTTACCCCCCACAGAAGCTGAGCGCAGTCCAGAAGATGTGTGGTGAGATACACAACAGCGGAGACGGTGGCTGTGTGTTGGTGAATTGTGTGGCTTGTAGGAAAAAAAACCGCGAACAGATTAAACCATGAAGAGGGCTCTTCAATTAGGTAAGGTAACATGCCAAGCAAAGGATAGAAAAGTTTTATACTATTCTCTTGTTTGCATCCATGCTTTGTCCTAGGAGTGTCAACCCCAATAGGAGACGCAATTAAGTGCTGTGTGTTTTTACAGATCATTTGATTTCGTTGTAAAATCAGATGAAGGGGATGATAGCGTAGGCTTCTGTGTTTCTTGATCACAAGGATTTGCTTAATATTAATGTATGACTTTTTATGCTTGTTTTCTATATTCAACCATCCTCTAACACCTTTGTGCCATTGTTAATGACTTCAAAGCGAGCAATGGTACCGATATATTGCCTTCAGTCTGAGCTCTATTAGGTAAACTTATGAGTAGCCAACCCTTGAAATCCTTGTTTAATTGAAAGAGATAGCTGCTGGTTGAAAAAAAGCAGCACGACTTAATATTCTTCTGTGTTGTGCTGATACATCGCTGATAAGATGTAAGGGCTAGCCTTCATTTTCTTCACTAGCATTAGTTTGTAATTATCCTTATTATTTAATTTAATTAACAAATTAGGGCGTTTTTTGTCTAAATCTTCATTCTACCATTTCCCTCTTTCTTTTGTGTGTATTTTCAATGTTTAACTCTCTCCATTAAGAGTCATTTTATTGCATAAAATGACTGTATGATCAACAAAGGTGGGATAATGGAATAGGGAAAACGAATCATGAATTGCGTTTTAAATAGATGTAATTTTACGTCTTTTCTGCTCAACAATTATTGATTTTTATTCCACAATCTATGACTGATTTTTACGCTAATGTTTTTATTTTAAAATGAAACCTTCGCCTCTTTCCGTTTAGCTCAAAAATATGATTGAAGTGAAACACTATAAAAGACAGTGCCTGTTTATAAAGGAGTTATAAGCTAGTTCATTTATCATTATTATTGATGTATTTCTATTAGTGTGCATATATCCAATTCTATCGCTCATTCTTATTATATACTTCCTACCACATCTTATTGTGGCGATAGGTTACTTAAACACAGCCATATACATATATGTATATGTATATCAAATGTATTAAAAACGCACACAATCCGATGTCTAGACAATTAATCCACTGCTATTACCTTGAATACTTTTTTCCTTTCTTAGTTTGTGTTTCTGAACAGAGAAGACTGGGTATATAGAATCTTTTCACATCCATTTAAATATTTATTTTCTGTGTATATTTTTTTCTCGTTGTTCGGAGTCAGGAGTATATTGTGTGCTCTAAAGATAAACAGGCTAAAATTGAAAATGTTCGGACAATTGAATAATCCCAATAAAGGAAGGAGCCATGGACATGGATTTAGGTCTAGTGCAGCGCGCAATAATGCTATGGCGGATTTCAGATACCAGGATATGCGGGGCAGCTTCATGGATGGTTCGAAGAGTTCCATGCGAAGTGTAAGTAACGTGTACGGCAACACTAGCACTAACCGGATGCCTTCCGTGCGCAGCTTCTCTGGCTTCCAAGATATGAGCAACCAGGCATCTTTTATGTACGACATGTCCTACAACAATGGTTTTCCCACTGGTGCGGCCACAAAAGTGTTTTCCTCCCGTCATGATCAGAGCCTCGTGCAATCGGCGGTTGACTTCCCCGTCCGCTTCAGCTCGTATGGGATGAACAGTTGGCTAGATATGTCTAGTTACAACTGTGGCGCAATGTCCTACGTCGAGTATATGTTCGATGGTCCCTCGGAGGACATTTTCTATGAGAACTTCAAAGAAGCTGCCGCTTCAAGTGAAGTTAATATTTTGAACAAGGACCCTCAGAAAGAATCCCTGACATCCAATGCCTCCATTTTTGTCGAAGATAACACCGATGCAAACAAGGGGGAACCTTCTACCGAAGAGGAGCCTATTCCACCATGTATAATAACCCCTCCAGAGGAGGATCCGCCTGCAGAGGAAAGCGTTCCTGCACAGGCGGTGGTTTGTGTAAAGCAGAGCCGTTCTTCCTGTCGCCGTAGTGCCCGCCCTTATAGTCGCGCTCAAACGATCGACTGCGTCGAGTTCCCCAAAGGTGAGGAGATGACAGACGAGTTAACCGTCGGCGACCTCGGTGATCAGGCAAAGCAGGCATTTGAGATGGTCCGTCAGGAGCGCGCCCGGGAGCGGGGGTCTCGGCAGTTGGATCGGCAAAAGGACCCTTCCGCGCAGGGGGGGGTGGCTAACAAGAAGGATCCACAGGCTAAGGTTAACCCCGGGGTCCCTCAGAATCAAACCAGCCTCCCTGCAAACGGCGAAAAGTCCAACGGGGAGGGAGTCGGGCTTGACAAGTCCAAGCGAGGGAAGGGGCTGCGGGAGGGCAGCCCGACGCGGAGGTCGCGCACACAAGGGGGGGAAACGGGCGCCGATAAAGTTCCTGCCGGGGCCGCGACGGGCCTCCCTTCGCAGTCGAGGCCGCCCAACGAAGGTAGGCTCGAGGAGGTCACGAACCATGTGCGCACGCTGGTCATGGTAGAGTCGATTACGAAAGGCAACCAGGCGATCACCTGCAAGGATAACCAAATCACGTACCACGGCCAGGTGATCAATGCCACCGAGGTGAAGAAGCGTAAGGAGGGCAGCTTTGAGAGCAACTCCCAGGCGCTGCAGCAGCTCTGCAAGATTGCGTCCAAGGGCTTCAACGTTGCCCTTCTCTCGTCGGAGGCGCCAAACACGTCCTCTCGCTTCATGTCCCCTGTGTGGCAGGCGCTTACCCAAATCGTCCGCAAAGTGCTTACTGACCACACAAATGAGAAGGGTTGTATCGAGCCAGACTTCGAGCTCAGCTGTGCGCTGGGATACATCTTGAACGATAAGTGCAAGGACATCTTCACTGAGGGCAGCGCGGCGTTTGAGAAGATCACCATCAAAACCTCGCCCATTTATGGCGCCAATTTGCAGGAACTGCAGTATTACCGAATCACAGACGCGGCGACATTCGAGGAGCACCTCTCCGCATGCTTGGCCCGTGCCAACACTGATTCCATCTTGTCTAGCTTCATGGAAGGCTTTGTTGGTGCCTTTTTAAATATGCGACAGGGCCTTAAGACGGAGAGCGGAGAGAGGGACATCTGCTTATCCTCTATCATTGTCACGTCGGCTGGTAGCGATGTGAAGCCGTACACGGATTCCCTAAATCGGGACCACAACATCTACGGCTCAATTTTCCACCTTGCGGTGTTCGGCCCGTGTTTCATGTGCTATATGCTTAACATCGCAGATGACGATACTATGAAGCAGTCGACAGTTCCGCCCGGCTCAAACATATCCGCTGAGCTCGAAAAGCTTTTTTCCCTTCTCAAACAGATGTCCGGAGCTGAGAACTTGCCGCTACGAAGTGGTTCTGTGCGCCGCTTTTTGACGTATGTCAGACAAAATTATGAAAAGACCAAGGAGCGCCTGAACACGGAGGACTTGAAGGAAGACAAGCGTCACCGACTCGAGAAATTTCTTGTTGAGACCAATACACTGATGGAGGTGTATTCAAAAATTTTAACCAATCCTGGGGAAAAGTTGAATTAAACACGGTTTAGACATTCACATTTCCCGATGTATATATCTTCCTGCGTACAGACAAAATCAGAAACGATTTCGTTTATGTCGACTCAGGGCACGTAAGTAGCACCATAATGAAGTATTCGTTTCTCTCAATTTTCTAAATGTTAATCATAAATATACATTCTTCACGATATTATAGTAATTGCCTTACTGAATACGGTAAGGGCGTCTGGACTATCGATTGATAATTCCTTTGTTGCACTCATAGAACTATTCATCCGATCAGTCATGAAGGCGTAGACAGTATAAAGAAAATGTGGGTGCTTTTTTTTTTCATTCTTCATGGTTCATTACTGAAGTTATTCTAATATAGAGTAGTAAATATAACCACGAACACATTTTATAGCATCCCCATTTGGTATTTTTTTTTCTATAAAAGAATTTCTTTGTTTATTCAAGAAGGTTATACAACAAAAAATGCTGATTTTAATTCATTAAATGTTTATGACTCGACATATTTTCGTGATTGAGGTAAGATATTTATGCTACCAATCAAATTATGCTTTAATTTTTTTTTCATTCGGGGTAAAAAATTTTCCTAATGATTGCACATGCACCGCAAGAAGCGCACAATAAAGGAGTTGTTATCAAGGTTCCTAATCGGAAAATATATTCAGATTGTATTTTTATTTTTTTTAGATAGCGAGTACTTGATTCATGCATATAGGTTTGTGAATACACTTGTTTATTTTTTTCCAATATTTATGTCTACTTGATTAACTTTTGTCAGTGAAGTCAAAAATAACGTTTGATAGTAATAGCGTTATGAATGCATCGCTTAAATACTCAGTACATTTTTTTTTTCGGTGTGGGCAAGGTGGAAATATTTTATACTTTTTGAAATAATCTTCTTGGGGAAAGAGCATAAAATATCTCATCGTTTTGATGATTTTCATCGTATATGTTTCTGCGAGTATTCCTGTAATAGAAAAAATGTATTAAACCCTTAAAATGTTGGACGTTAATATGATATGGGACTTCATTCCATATTGATGCTTCCGTTTTCTTCTTTTTATTCTAATATTTCCTTTTCCCTGTGATTTTCCTTCGCACTCTTTGTTATTCTCTATTCTAAAGTTAATATTTATCATAAGCTGAATCTGCACATTTGTCATCGGCTACGCTGGACTCAAAAGGCAAGAGCTCTTACCCACCATACCTCTAATGGGTGAAGGGGTATTTCTTGAAAGGAATTTATGTCATCATTTTATCCTTTCTGGACTAATGCCACAGTTGCTCATGAATCTCAGCAGCATCATTTCCCCTGTTGTTTTCCTCAGGCCAGTATTCATATTAACGACATATTTTGCACCGATCATGCGGCTAAGGAGCATGACATGAAGGGGGATGATGCCTGGGAAACGATCATTTTATCCAATTATATGATTGATTTCGAGTGGCTTTGTCAAGCGGTCCCAGCGTTAGCAATGGTGCAGAAGCAGCTAATTGTTCTCAGCGGCGAAAAGGGGACTGCTACCGTTCGCGTAGTGGAGTCCTCAGCAGGGTCCGGCGATGGTTCGTGTACGAAGGTCACCCGCTACAGCCCTGTTCCAGAATCTCAAGACAACCACAATGGTATGATATGGGCAGCCATCGCAGGTGGGATCCCCCACGAAAAAATAGTGATTCTGGAACCCCCACTACCTTACTTATACGGTACGCATCATAGTAAATTTGTCTTGGCTATCAATAAGCATGGAATTCGAGTTGTGATTTGCACAGCCAATTTTATTCACGATGATTGGGTGAATAAAACACAAGGGATTTATATACAGGATTTCCCCTTCAAGAGCAATGTTCTCAGCCCCGAAGGCGGTGGAGACTCGAACATGGGAGCTCCTTGCCTACCTGTTGATGATTATCAGCTACGAAAGGGGGAAGACTTTAGGTTATATCTCCAGCTCTATTTAGGACAAGTCGGTTTGTTGCCGCTTCCGCGGGGGAATAAATCACGGCAGATTGTATCATTTTCTCCACAGGATTTAGATGCGTTTGACTTCTGTTCGGCTAAGGTATGGCTTTTTGGCTCCGTCCCTGGGAGTCATAGGGGACAACGGTTGATGTCTTTTGGAATCAACCGTTTGTTTAGTGTCCTCAGGAATGTCAGTCTATCGACTGAAGCGGCTCTCACAAACACCACGAACCCGAACGACACTCAACCGGTGATACTGAGTTGGCAATACAGTTCACAGGGCTCACTCAATGACAAGTTTTTAAAAGCAATGCAACGCTGCATGACGGCACCAGACGTTTTCGTGGCCGACCTACAAGTGATCTACCCCTCGGAGGATGAGGTTCGCTGCTCTCTGGAAGGCTGGCGTGGTGGACTTTCCCTCCCCGTCCGCCTCCGGTGTTGCGACCCCTTTATCAACGCGCGGCTTCATCGCTGGGGTTCCTCCGGTGATTCGCTTTCGTCGGCGTCCGAATTGTGGCGCTATGCCCTGCCGCATATCAAATCCTACGCGGCGTTGGATCGCGCGCGCCGCAGCATCGTCTGGTTCGCCCTCACCAGCGCCAACCTCTCCCAGGCGGCGTGGGGGGTGGGCGGGGGCGGCCGAAGAGGGGCCCGCCCGACGCGCGAAAGATTCCCTCTTTATCCGCTCCTACGAGCTGGGGGTGCTCTATGACGCCCACTCTGAGATCGACGAGCACGTGGCGGGGTTCTCGACGACCCCGCGCCGGCCGCTGCCGAGGCCCACCGCTGCCACCGCCGGGCAGTACCTCTTCCCCACCCCCATCGTGGGCGCGACAGCGTCGTGTCTCTACCTTCCCTATGATATCCTTCATCCGCTGCCATACGCCAGCACGATGGCACTTCGACAGAGAGAAGGGGAAGGTGGCGATGCGGCGTCCACTCCCGTCATCAGCCAAGACATCCCTTGGGTGGTGGATTTGCCTCATCGCGGCAGTGATAGCATTGGACGTACGGCTGAAGAGGCTGTGGACGGCTTTGGCCACTATGGATCTATCAGATGGATGGCGCCGGTAAGGCGCGAGTTTCCTTGGGCTAGTAGCCCCAAATTGTGCGTAAAGCGCACACGACCAACTGAATGACGACTTCAGTTAGTGTAATTATTATTCTTTTTAAAAATGAATTTTGTAATTCCCGGATGAAAAGGATAAGATCATAACATTAACACAGATAAACGCATGCATGCACACACACTCACACAGGTGCTGATGGGTGACTACTGCACACCAAGAATAAAAAAGTAGCAAATAGTACACTTAGTTGTAAAAGTTTAACGATTATGTTGACTTGGTTCGATCTTATTGATGTATATCCGCTGTTTTGTTTGCCCTTTTACGTTTTTCCATTCTCTTTTGAGTTTTATTGTAGTAGTGTAGACAAAAAGGGTCTGCCAATAAAAAACCTTAATCTTAGGAAACAAAGGGGTTGCGTGTGGGGTAGAATAATTTATGATTAATAGTTGTAACTTCGTGGCACCTCTCACATACTTGTGGCATACCGTTTTGCCTTCATTTAATAATTTAGCACTTGAAGACCCAGCGGTGTATCTCGATCATGAGTCCCTCCAATGTTATATTCACGGTGGGAAATGCGACGCGAGGGGCGATGGGCATACCTCCAAGAAAATGAGTGAAGATCTTGTACAGATCGATTTGTCACGTTTTTTGATTTCGCATCCTACCAAGGTGAAGGCTTCACTGAAAGGTGTTGATACATCATCTGCGGACGCAAAACTGAGGTCGAATTCAAACGAGGCTGAAACTGCCGCAGTTCATGTGTTATACACCGATAATACCTTGCTTAAGTGCCCCCCGACCCCCTCGGAGGCAGATTCAGGAGTTGTATCAAATCAGCCCGTCCTACGCCACAGTCATATCTTGTTTCGGTATGGCACACTCCTCGCTCTTCACGGGGGTCGAGACGAGTACGGGATAGTTTGCAACAGGATACTCGCGTTTCACCTAATTTCCCGATGCTGGGAGGACGTTCAAACGCTTTATGGTGGTGACGCGCCTCCTCGCATGTACGGTCACGCGGTTGCCGCGATTCACGCCGCACGAGGGTTTTTTCTGATAATGGGTGTAGAGTGCAATCCGAATGGCACTTTTATACCCTCGCGCAAGCGCCCAAGAGCAGAGGCCCTTGGGGCGTGCTCTAGCGGAACGGTGATGGGCCGACCACCCAATGCCCATCGGTCGGCGCTAAGCATCTACACTTTACGGTTAGAGGATCGGCTTGAGGGATGGCGAAAAGTGGGTGTGTCTGACGCGTCGACGCACGGCCCTTGCGCCCGATTATATTTCTCGATGAGCATTCCCCACTCCACTTTCACGCCCACGTATGTGGAAGGGGCGGATCTGACCGAGGAAACCCCCATGGGGCGGGTGGCCTACCTCGCCGGCGGCGTAATTGGCTCCACTTATCTCGTCGACGTCTGGCGGTACGATCTCACCACAGGTAAGTGGCGGGAGGTGGTGTTGCCGCAACATCCGGCGTGCGACTTGCCTCTATCTGCCTCCCTCCCCGGGCCCCTTCCCCAGACGAGGACCCGACCCCCCGGAGGGCGGGATCGACGCGTGAAGCCTTATGGGGTGCGGTTGGTGCCTTTGATTTACCGCTCCCCGAAGGGATCCACACTGGTAAAGAAGGAGGATGGCCATGGGAGCCCGGATGAGACGGGGGTGATGTGGACTCGGGGGATGTGTTTTGTGCTGAGGGCACCACGCCGGGAGGCGTCACCAAGTGGTCCCTCCTTACCCCTTCCCGTCTTATCGGCTCTCGACCCGACGGATGGGGCAGGAGGCGGCCCACCAGGGGGGGTAGCCCTCACCTTACCCACTGTTCCACTTACCAAGTGCACTAAGCTAAGTATGGCTTTGTCAACCTTTCTCGCCGTCGATTCTGAGGCCACTCAGTGGCTCTTTTCCCTTAGCAGGGATCGAAAACTTGACGCGGTTAGGGTGCAGGGCTTGCCTTTCCCAAGCTTTCAGGTGAAACGCTAAGACAACATCGAAAGGGTGTGGAGGGCTATCTTTTGTATGAATTTATTTCGTTGCGAGTTTCTGTGCACGACGGACGCCGAGTAACATGCTTAGATGTATTCTACTACGTGTAGAGTTTTCTTTTGATTCATCTTGACACAGAGACCACATTTCATTTAAATCCTTAATACGTTGCCCGTTTTCAACATTACTGACGCGTCTGTAAACATGCCATGACTAAATAGATAAAACACAGTACTAACTTTGTATGCACTCAGATGCAGCTTTATTTGCTGTTTTTGAATTAATACGTATCCTTTGTTGTTTCCTGAATACAGTTTTCTATTATTTTAGTTACCTTATAAAAGAGTGCATATATTCATATATATATATATATATCAAGTGCATAGGCACAATAAACGTCCCAAGTATTATTAAATAGGATTCGACTACGATAATTAGAAATAATCTTTTCCCCTTGTTTTTATATCTGTTAAAAAAAACGGATCTGCCTATCTCTCCCTTTCCCCCTTTACACACGAATATATATATATATATATATATATTAATCTAATTTTGTGGTTGCAGTATTCGATAGAAAAGCCCTTGGGTGACTTATTGACGATCACGTTTGCGCATATTTTGCTCATTTTCGACCTGAATATTTGTAAGCAAATACTGCTACTCCTACCAAGATGAGTATAAATGATCCGAACACTGTGGCAGCAAAGTCAGAGAACGAGTACACCGTTTCGCATCTCAAGATAACTTTCCCATGTGCGGATGAATATAAGAGTAAGAACCTTGATTTAGAGGCCCTAAAAAAGGCCTTCCTATCAGACACCGCTGCGGCACTGGAGATGGATATCGGATGCTTCTCTAATGCTACTATAGACGATTCTTTCACTATTCATTTTTCGGTGCGACACAAGAAAAGCAGGACTAAATCGGACATTAAACAAGTCTTGCGTGGCTGCGGTTACAATTCAGTGTGGCAGATCCTTTTGAATGTTATAAGCGATGAAACCAGTCCGGTTAAATCCACTTCCAAATCCCCCGAAAATCCACCCAAAGAATCCAGTGCTCCTGTGTGTCTTTCAGCCGCTGAGAAACAAACGTTGGATCTGATTAATCTTTCTGCACTCAAAGAGGTAGAGGACCTCTTACGTTCAGACAAAGATGTTCCTTCGGCAACCGATTTACTCACCAACAAGGATGAAAAGTTTGAATCGAAGATTTTCTTCACAGGCACCCTTTGGGAATTAGTGCTAAAGGATCGCTATAATGAGATTGAAACCGCTCTTAAAAAAGATATGGAAGACATTCTTGATAAGCATCCGTGTGAACGGCAAAAAATAAAGACCAATACCTTCAAGTTCCATTTCGACACCAATATAATGAGCCTATGTGTCGTATTCCGCGTGTCGCATGAGACCAACTTAGACACAACAAAGTTGTCTAGAATACTAGTGGATTATGGTTATCCTGTTACATGGAATATTTATCGGGAATACCAACAACAATTAGGTGAAAATAACTCGCATCAAGATGGTGTACTTACTGAAGAGTGTGAACGGCATCCTGCAATGCCGCATGTCGTTCCTTCAGACGAAGGATTTATCTTATCACATCACTGCATAAACTTCAATACAGGTTCATGGAAAACTATTGTGCGGTCGCACAAAAGCGAGTTGATCAAAGCCTTAACAGAAGATGTCTCACAGGTGTTGAACATCCCCTGCGAATCCGTCTTGTATAAACAGGTCTTGTTCCGATCCGATGGGGTACTCTCTATACTTCTTGACGTGGAGAATCGCAATGAGTTCGATATATCACAAAAAGAGCTCAGTCTCACAGAGTGTTCTTTTGGTCGGTTGTGGAGGCTTCATGAATCACTCTTTTACTCTGCAAGTGTCGAAGTTATTCACGAACAAGCTGAAATCAAGCCTCAACAGGATGATATTGATGTTGCAAAAAATGTACCCACTCACTATCGTTTCCATTTCAACGATGAGACGTGGTCTCAGGTATCTCAAGAATCTTCTTACTTGTTGAAAGATGCCCTCACTGAAGATGTGACAGAGGCATTAGGTTTATCGGATCCTGGTAAGGTACACGTGCTCTTTCTAAAAGTTAACAGGAACCTCACCATCGATGCACGCATTACTCACACAGGTGTTACAAGCTCGGAGGTTGTTAAAATTTTGTCAATGTGCAAATTTGCCCGGCTTTGGGGTCATAATCCCGCGCCCTATGAAGTTTCCCCAGAAGAGAGAAGGGCTGAAGTGGTCACAGGGGACCTAGTGACGACTTGTCATTCTATCGTCTTTAACGGTGATAACTGGGTTAAAGTCATAGAGGATCCTGAAAAGTATGCATTCCTTCAAGCCAGTCTTCGTGCAGACTTGTCTACCTGCGTTCAAGTTCCAGAGAATTATGTCTATGACATAGACCTGAGTGTAGGTAGTCTGGCTGCAGAGTTTTTCCTTGAGCATCCACGATCCCAAACAGTGTATCAAATCAACAAAGTTATTCAGAGTTATAGGTTCCCAGAAACTTGGCTCCTCTATCCTTTTCCGAAACATGACAACGAGAACACAGAAGCTACTGGTGCAGAGGGTGAGCAGGAGACAGTTCGAAGCCACCATTCCATTGATCTCAGTGGCACTTTATGGTCTTTCTTTCTTGAACGATATGAAGATAAGATACGCGATGCCTTTTGCAGAGATATCTTCCTTTCTCTGCAAATTCCCTCTGATGACATTTACAACCTTGAATTCAGAAAAGCTCTGATTATTGAATTCGATGTCGATCATCCCAAAAGCTTTGACTCAACCGAAATTGATTGTGTATTGGAAAAGTTTCCATTTCCTCATATATGGAGACTATACAATGTGCTTCAGCTGTTAAAGTACCACTTACCTGAAAAGGGCGTTTCACTTTGCTGCATCAAATCTATGTCCACCGTATTTGACTCTTACGAAGATAATTACCCTGATGAAGCTCCTGAAGACCAAGAGAGCCAATCAGATTTTCACGCTACCGAAATTTCCAAAACTGTGATGTTACCTCAGTCACCAGTTCAAAATGCGAATGGGGTCGAACCCGATTCGGAATGCAACACAAAGGTGGATAAGCAAAAGTCCAAACCCGACATTAGCACTAGTCAAAGCGAGGCTCCATTAGATGGGCAAAGTTTTATGAACTCTCAAAGTGATCCATCAGGTGGTATGGGGTCTTTCACAAAGCATGTTGTGCGGATTCCGGGAGAAAATTGGAAGAACGTGCTAGATTTACGACTGCATCACGTTCGAGATGGGATTCGACGAGATGTCCATGCCGCCACCAACTTGCCGATACCATCAATTCAAAACGTTAACTTTTACATCGACCAAGACCTTTTTATCGAGTTCAATCTCGATCATGAGGCCAACGCAGAAACAAGGAAGCACTATGATGATTTGCTAAATGCATCATCTTTTCCGATTACAGCCCAGGTATATAGCATCCCATGTACACAATTCACTGTGAAGATGCATGGTGAAAAGTGGAAGGAAATCTACAAGTGTAACTCTGAGCTCCTGAGGGCAGCACTAGCTAAGGACATTGAGAAAATTGGATACAGGCCCGATCCATTCCCAACCTTACACTTTGACGATAATGATTTCATTGTGGACATCAAGTTATGGATTCCTGAAAAAGATGCTCAAGAAAAAGCCACCCAAAAGATAAGGACAGCTGTATATGATTATCTCAACCTAGTGCACGCTCAATTTACATCAAAATACTATATGGACGATTACCAAGAAGAAGTCGTATACACATTACACAAGATATCTCTACAGGGAAATGGCTGGCGCCGCGTTCTTGATAACTCTGCTGAGTTGCTAAAGATTGCATTTTCATGTGATGTATGCAAAAACTTAAATGTAAGTACAGATACCATTATGAATATGTACTTCGAGATGGGAAGCTTGAAAGTAAACTTCTATTTGAAGCATAAAGTCAGTATAACCAAAAAATTTATCAATCACGGACTGGCCGTTGCAAAATATGAAAAAACATGGGATCTCTACCGACTAGCTCAACCTGTAACGAAAGTCACTGCAACTCAGGATTTGCCAGTTGATGAAGCGAAAAAGACTAAGCGTGCGACAATACCCCCAGT